AAAAAAAAAAAAAAAGAAAAGAAAGAAAAACTTACTAATGGGTATATTCATTTTTTGCTAGATCAATTCTTTACTTGGGATTGTAAATTTTTTAGAATGTATTGTACCTAATTTAGAGAGATAATTTCTTAAAATGTGTTTCAGCACTCTTCTGACCAGAAGTTAATAGTTTATTGCTTGATGGATGTGTGCAAACCCTTTGAGTCATTTAAATCTACTAGGTTTTATCCCCATGCATAAAAGATACCATTACTAGTTAAATGATCCTTTCCCTTGACAATAATTGTGGAATAACAGGAAGATATTTCAAGGTTAAACTTTCTTATTTCTGGTTAAGCTCCGTGTAGACAAATTTGATTTGGCTTTGATTTATTCGTAAAAGGAAAAAAAAGTCAGTAAACCAGTGAGTGAGTTTAAATCACTCAGTATGAATACCATAACAACACGAACTGATTTGCTCTTTGAATGTAACTTCCTCTTAATTTTTTTAGAAAATTAACATCCTTTCTAAAACTGAAATGTAGAAGACTAGATAATCGGTACTGAAAGCAGAACAAATATTCAGTTGAGTTTGCTCAATTCAAAGTGAATTTCATAGTTGGTTGAATGTATTACATAATGTAATTTGACAAAGCAGTGTAGGATATCAGCTATAGTCACCATGCTGTCCTTATAAAAAGGTCATAGTTAGCCATTTTCTTCCTCACTCTATCAAATTTAAGGCCTTAAGAAAAGCTGAAAGTGGTTGTTCTGTAAATTAACAAGTGCAGCATGAGACAAAAAGACAGGAGGAACACCTTGTACTGTGTTTTCTAACACAGACTGTCCTGGCTTAGTCTGGAAACAGAATGATAGATAGCACTCCCCTCCAGGTTCCCTCTTTGATTCAGAAATTCACCTTCAGACCATTAAAACAGCACTCTAAAGGGAAGGTTAAAAATTAAAAATCTATTGAATTAACATCTACAAAAGACTAGACTTAATGCAAGGCAGTTTCAATAAAGTTATGTAATTTCTTTCCGTGCCTGGCAGATGTGATATACTCTCATTGTTCTATAGATGAGAAAACTAAAACTCTAAAAGGTAAAAGGTTTTGCCCTCGATTGCAGAGCGTGTATGTAATTGGAGTTGGGGTTGGAACCCAGGAATTATTTCTGCTTATGAATTAGGTTGGTAGAATTTCTGAGGTGGCAAGCACGTTCAGTGTTATTTAATTCCTCTCTCTCATCCTATATGTAGGTAAATCAAAACTCAGAATCACCCAAAGACTAAAGGTAATTTGGACCAAAGCAAGCAGTAGCGTGCAGAATCTAGCTCAGTGGTCCACGTATTCCACCTTCACTTGGCTTTGGTGACTGTAGGTCATTGGTCTTCCCCCTTGGTCCCTTAGGTTTGATCCTCTTCTCTTCTTTCTAGGCAGTTTTTCCAGTCATTTTTCCAGTCCACACTTGACTTCGGAATCCCAGGCTCTTGTATCCAGTTTCCAACTTGCGATCTCCACTTGGATGTCTAATATCTCACATGCAGCCTGTCTAAACCTGACAGCTATTTTTCTGTCTCCCCCTACTTCAGCAAATCTGTTCCTCCCCTAGTCTTCTGCAGCTCAGCTGATGGCAGCTTCATCTCTTCAGTTGTTCAGGCCAAAACACCTCGGAGTCCTCACCTTGTATGTAAAGCACAGGGAAACCACTTGTAGAGACCCAAGCTAAGAAGGCAAGGAGTTCAGACGTGGCTGTTTAGCCTTTAAAGCATTTCCCACAAAGGTGCTATGTGTAGAGAATAGTGTTCGTGTTTAGTGGGGGTAGGAACACGAAGTGAGGCCGAGGTGTGTCCATTGGAGCAACAGTAAGTGGAAAGAGTGAAAGAGCAAGCACACACACAACGGTGACCACGTCCGTGTGTGAGACAGGGAAGAGGGTGGTGGAAGTGACGGGACAGAACTGGAAAGGACAGAGAAGAGGTGGTCGTAATGCAAGAAAGGAATCAGGGGCCATAGATGCAGCTGCTCCTTCTCATACCATCCCTTAGTAGGACCCATTTTAATTTTTCAGAATCCCTGTCCATGAGAGCATGGGAACCAGTTAGGTTGGCGCATAGGAGAAAAATATGCTTAAACAAAACAGGACAAAAAAATAGGCCCAGATCTCTTATGAATGGAACTTTATTTTATTGATTGCCAAACATAACATCTTCCATTATTTGGGGTTTTCTGTTTGTTTCTAAGGCCAGAGACCAATCTAGTTATTGTAAAGTCTTCACATTTTAGGAGGTGGAAGAATGTTTTTGAAGCAATGTAAATCACTTCTATGCTATTGCATATGGCAGAATTATGCTTACATGTAAAAGCATACTACTTTCAACTACTAATGAAAGAAAAATGGTTTTCTATGCTGTGAAAGGCAGTGTAGACTTTTACAGTCTTTTTTTTTTGAAACAGAGTCTCACTTTGTCACCCTTGGTAGAGTGCTGTGGCATCACAGCTCACAGCAACCTCCAACTCTTGGGTTTAAGCGATTCTCTTGCCTCAGCCTCCCAAGTAGCTGGGACTACAGGCACCTGCCACAACGCCCAGCTTTTACAGTCATTTTTAGACTTTCTTTTTGTTAGATCTCTTTTCAGACTATATACACTGATTTCACTCATATGCTGCTGGTTCTATTTATATTATAAATTTAAATTTGCATGTATCTCAAGAGTGAGATCTGAAGGTAACTCTAAGTGGGTGAACCTTCTGATAGTGTTGAAGAAGTTCTGTATGTTTGCACCTTTTTCTGGAGACTGGTCCATGTTCTTGAAGGAGTTCACGACCAAAACAAGTCCTAAGAGGACTGGTTTTGTTCATTCACCCAAATATAGTAGAACCTCTGCAAGTTGACCACCCAAGGGACTGTACCAAACTGGCCGACATACAGACTGGTCAACATAGGAAACTATGGTACTGATACGTACGTGTGGCACACGTCCAGTCTATGAAAATCAGGTCAGCTGAAGGAGGTGGTCAGTGTAGGGGGGTGGTCAGCTGTGGAGATTATACGGTAGTTCTCTTCTTTAGGACTAGAATGGGACTGTAACATGTAGTTAAAAGTTTATGAAAATCATCACTGTATATTTTTGTTTATGTAATGACCTGTCACCTTATTTACAAACCTTGATGAAATCAAAAGAGAAATATCACGAGTCCTGTAATATGTGCTTTATCACATGGTGTGTTTGTGCAGGTCCGATTCCCATCCCACTTCAGTTCAGATCTCAAGGACCTTCTACGGAACCTGCTGCAGGTAGACTTGACCAAGAGATTTGGAAATCTAAAGAATGGCGTGAGTGATATAAAAACCCACAAGTGGTTTGCCACAACAGATTGGATTGCTATTTACCAGAGGAAGGTGAGATTTTTCTTTCTTTTTATCTTAAAAGCTTATTAAAAGTTGGTGTTTCCCTTGCATGAGGTAGAGATATTTTCAATGTAACACATAGTTTTTGTTTTTTTACCTTGTGAATTCATCCTATAGATGATCTAAAGTACTTTATAGACCATGACTTAAAAGTGAATTGTCTCCTAGATTAAGGAGAAAGGATGTATTCTATTTTGCCCATTAATCTGAAATGTTTTCTTTGTTAAGTTTTTACCACCCATGCCTCATACTCTTCAAAATTCTATGGAAATTATATATTAGACAATGTCCTGAGAGTTTGCTTTTCAAAACTGATGTGGAGACATATTAGGAAGATAATATATAAACAAATATATTCGCCTATCCAGAATTGGCATGCAGCCAGATATAGTAACATTTAATTGCTGTATTCCTCATTTTTCAGTCTTTATTTTGACCTCTCTGTGGCATTTATTAGGGTTCAAAATTTTTAATGTCATGTTTCCCAAACAGACCGTGTTTTCTGACACTCCATGCTTTCATAATTTTTTTTTCCTTTGCTCTGAATGATTTTTCCCGTGTGTGCACCTGCCATAGTCTTAATGATCCTTTAAGATTTAGCTTAAATGTTACCTCTACTGTGATATTTCTCTGAAAGGTATTCTTCATGAATATCTGATACAGTCTCGATTGTTTTAAAATACTACATTAAAAACAAGGATCTTATCTTACTCATTTTTATTTTCCTATCACCTGCCAAGAATCTTATGGTTGGTACCTGCTCAATAAACGTTTGCCAAATTACTGACTAAGCCCTGGACATTGTTCAGATAAAACTTACCTTTATCCATTTGAAAGCCAATTCGAACATGAATAAGAGAAATACGGATTTTAATAAGTGTTTTGGGGGAAGGTTAAAACAAATGATCCAAAATTACTACAGTTTTATCAATGATTTATTCACATGATATTTGTTCCAAACATTAATAGTTATCAGATGCTTGTATGCTAGGTATTTTGCAAGCTGGTGAGAATACAATGATGAAAAAAATCTGCCTTTGTCCCTGTCCATATGAAACTTAGAGCTTCAGGAATCAGGAAGATTGATCAAGTGGTGGTTATAAATAAATGTAAGGGCGCTAATGTAAGAAATGTGGGAATGAAGAATCACTTTGCATCTGAATTTTCACGGGATTTGTTTTGTTTGACTTTTTTGTTTGCTTGCTAAAGGAACTCTTAGAAATTCAGGCAACTTGAAGGCTTGATTGTAAATATAAACCAAGTTAATCTCTAGCATTAGTATATCACCATAATAAAATAGAGGGACTCCAGCTGAACCATAGCATGCTTAAAAGAAACTAGATTTTTAATTATCCAAGTTGCCAGCATAATAGTTGTGGTAACTGTAGTATGTTAATTAATAGTAGTTATCACTTCACCTTTCCAATAAATTGAGACATTTAAGAAAAGATTTTGCTGTGCTGAATTACCTTTATCTCTCTTTTGCTTCTTAAATACTGAGTTCAAGATAGTTTACGTGAATAAAGTGTTTTCACTTTGAATGTATTTAATTTTTTTCTTTTTAAAAAATAAACAGAACCTCTAAGGTTTTAGACTAAGATTTGCCATCTTTAATAATGATGAACAGCAAGAAGAGTGAGTTGCCTTAAGGGGAAAAAAAGTCATGCTCTGGGATTAAAACCACAGTTCTTCTAATTTATATAGGTTATGAAATATTATAAAAACAAATCAATGAAAGAATATTAATATACAGCAAATAGAAAATATAGAAAGACCAAGACAATGTGAATGTAATACAGCCTCTGAATCTCAAAAAAAAAAAAAAGGTTCAGAAACCATCAAGTTCATGAAATGTAGCTGTTAACATTTTGATCTCAGATGGACATGTTATGAAGTCAAGATCAAGGTCCATAGCGACCCCATCCGGGTCAACCATTAACATGAAGATCTTGAACAAATTATTTAACCTCTATAAAACATCTTTTTTTTTTCCAGTTTTTGTTGGGGGCTGGGTTTGAACCCTCCACGTCCGGCATATGGGGCCAGCACCCTACTCCTCTGAGCCACAGGCACTGCCCAAAGCATCATTTTTATCATCCTTAAAATCTGGATTAATATAGAGAATACAAAAGAGAGAGTGGTTTGTGGGGAAAGATTAGATGGATTAGCCCAGGCTCCATTTTCTTTCTAGTTGAGATATGTTTTATGTCATTTCTTTTTTTTTTTTTTAGACACAAAGTCTCACTTTGTCACCCTTGATAGAGTGCTGTGGCATCACAGCTCACAGCAACCTCCAGCTCTTGGGCTTAGGCAATTCTCCTGCCTCAGCCTCTCGAGTAGTTGGGACTACAGGCTCCTGCCACAACGCTGGCTATTTTTTTCTTGCAGTTTAGCCAGGGCAGGGTTTGAACCCACCACCCTCAGTATATGGGGCCAGCACCCTACTCACTGAGCCACAGGCACCGCCCTTTATGTCATTTCTTAAGCAAGTAAGTTTGAAATTCTCCCACCATCCAGACAGAACCTCTATTAACGTCTGTAATATGCTCCTCTCTGTCACTGTAGTTCGTCCCCATGACCTCAGGGACCCAATCGACTTCCTCTAACTCTACCCTTTCTCCTCTGCTTCAGTCCCTCACCCCCAGTTGCCACCTACTGCGCAATTCCATCTGACTGACCCACTGCCGCCTTACCCAGCCATTTCAAAATAGTCTCTGTCCCATCCCAAGTATGTCCACTTCACCTGTGTTTTCTTTCATGGCTTTTTGAAATCAAGGCTTCTTTTTGATGTTGTATAATAATTAGCCAGTTTTTCCCTCACTATTTATTGAATAATTCTTATTTGGTCCCTTATGTGAAATCTACCTTTGCTAATTAAGTTAATATACACTTTGGTCTACTTATGAACTTTATTTTTTATTTAGTTTTATTGATGCCTATTGTCACCATTTATGGACCACATGAGATATTTTGATACATGCATGGAATATGTAATTATCCAATCCGGGATATGTAGTGCATCCGTCACTGTAAACATTTATCATTTCTTTGTGCTGGGAACAATTCAAATATTCTCCTCCTGCTACTTTGAAATACACAATATATTGTTGTTAACGATCATTACCGTCACGCCATCAAACACTAGAACAGATCCCTATTTTCTAACCATATGGGTAGACCCTTTATGGTTCCATACAAATTTTAGAAGTTTTTTCTGTATTTGTGAAGAATGTTACTGGTATTTTAAGAGGGATTGCATTGCATCTGTAGATTGCTTTGGATAGTATGGTGATTCTAACAGTGTCAATTCTTCCAATCCGTGACCCAAGGATGTCTTTTCCATTTGTTTGTATACATCCTTCATCATCCAATGAAAGATATTTGTACACAGCTCTCATCAGTGTTTGGTTATTGTCCCTGTAGAGGTCTTTCACCTCCTTGGTTCAGTTTATCCCAAGGCAACTTACCTTTTTTTGTAGCTAAATAGCTATTGTAAATAGCATGGCCCAACTGATGTCTTTTTCAGCTAATACTTTATTGGTGTATAGAAGTGCAATTGATTTTGGTGTTGATTTTGTGTTCTACAACTTCACCGCAGTAGTTTATAGGTTCTAAGAGTTTTCTGGTAGAGTCTTCAAGTTTTGCAGACTATGTGTCATCTGCAAAGAAAGAGTTTGACTTCCTTTTTCCTAGTTTAGATGCCTTTTATTGCTTTCTCTTGCTTGATTTCTCTGACTAGGACTTACAGTACTATGTTGAATAGCAGTGGTGAAAGTGGGCATCTTGTTCCAATTCTTTGAGAAAAGGCTTTCCACTTTCCCTAATTCTGTAGATTAGCTACGCGTTTGTGGACTTTATAATGTTGCAGTATGTTCCTTCTGAGCCTCGTCGGTTGAGAGATTTTATCATGAGGGAATGTTGAATTTTCTCATATGATTTTTCTGCATCTATTAAGATGATCAGAGATTTTATCGTCATTCATTCTGCTAATGTGATGTATCATCTGTAGCGACTCACATACGTTGGACTCTCTGCATCCCATGGATAAATCCCACTTTATCACAGACCATTATCCTTTTGATGTGTCACTGGATTTGGTTTGCTAGTATTTTGTTGAGGATTTTTGCATCTGTGTTAATCAGGGATATTTCCTGCTGTAGTTGTTGTTTCCTTGTCTGGTTGGATTTAGGATAATGAATGAAGTTGGGGAGAATTACTTCCCTTCCTCTTTAATTTTGGGGGATAATTTGAGAAAAATTGGTGCTATTAGTTCTTTATATGTCTGGTAGAATTAAAGCAGACATTTGATTTGGGCTTTTATTTTTGGAGGAGTCTTTATTGCTGCTTCAATCTGTTACTTGCTGTTGTCTCTTCAGGTTTTCTCATTTCTTCCCAATTCAATGTTGGTCGGTTCCTTGTGTCTAGGAATTTACCCATTTCCTCTAGGTTTCCCAGTGTTTTAACCCAGAGTTGTTCATAGTAGTCCCCAATGATCATTTGTATTTCTCTGGGGTCAGTGGTAATGTCTCCTTTTTCATTTCTGGTTTTCTTATTTTTTCCAAAAAAAAAAAATCTTTCATTGTATTGATCTGTGTATGGTGACTTGCCCTTTTTCCTTTTGGGCTTTTGTTGTTGTTTGGTCTCTATTTTGTCTAGTTGTGTCCTGATCTCTACTATTTCTTTTCCTCTATTTATTTTGAGTTTGGTTTGTTCTTGCTTTTCTGGTTTGCTAGAGTGCATTGTAAGGTTGTTTATATACACACCTTTTACTTTGTTTGACACAAGCATTTATTGCTAAAAATTGCCCTCTTAGCACTACTTTTACTGTATCTCCTAAGTTTTTGGTATATTGTGTTTCCATTTTCATTTGTTTCAAGAAAATTTTTTAATTCTTTAAAAATGTCTTCATTGACCCGATGGTCATTCAAGAGCATGTTGTTTAGTTTCCATGTATTTGTACAGTTTCCAAAGTTCCTCTAGTTATTAATTTATACTTCTCCTTTGCAGTCTGAGAAAATACTTGATATGATTCAATATTTTTAAATTTGTTTGTTTCTTGGCATAAAATATGGTCTATCTCGGAGAATGTTCCATGTGCTTACAAGAAAAATGTGTATTCTTCAGCTTTTGGATAAAATGTTCTGTAAAGTCTACTATGTTCCTTTGGTCTAAAGTCCGATATAAATCCAATATTTCTGGTTGATTTTCTGTCTAGATGATCTGTATAATACTGTAGAAGTGTTAAAAGTTCCCAACTGTTATTTTAGTGGAGTCTATCTCACCCTTTAGATCTAACTATATTTGCTATATGTCTCTGGCTGCTTCAATGTTGTGTGCATACGTATTTAGAACTGTTACATTCTCTTGCTGAATGGATCCCTGTATGGTTATATAATAATTTTCCTTGTGTCTTTGTACTGTTTTTGACTTAAAAATCTGTTTTATCTGAGATAGATATAGCTGTTCCTGTTTGCGTTTGTTTTTATGTGTGTGGCATATTTTCTTCATCCCTTCACTTTCAATCTATATGTTTCACAACATTACGGTTAGTTTCTTGTAAACAGCACATAGGTGGGTCATGTGGTTTTGTTGTTCTTATCATTGTTTTTAATCCACTTGGCCAGTCGATGTCTTTTAAGTGGTAAGCACATCTGTTTATATGAAGGTTATTATTGATAGGCAAGGGCTTACCCCTGTCATTTTCTCAGTCGTTTTCTAGTTCTTCCCCTTAACCTTTGTTCCTTTCCCGCCCTCTTATTGTTTATCATTGCAGTCTGATGGTTTTCTGTAGTGCTAAGTTTGCATCTTCTTACACGTCTGCTCTACCAGTGAGTTTTATACTTTTACGTATTTTCACAGTGGTAGATGTTGTTCTTGCACTTACAAATATAGGATTCCCTTAATTATTTATGATTGAGCACCAGGTTTCAACTCTTAGATCTCAGGGAGTGTGTGGGATTTAGCACAGATGCCGTCTCTGTGACAAGACCATTGCATGACTCCACGCACCTCCCTATCCTGATATCAGAGCTCAAGAGGGCCATGGTATTCTCCTGTGGCTAAGGTTGCAAGAGTCCACAGTGGGAACGTGGATCACTGGGGATCACTCAGTTACCTTTTGTCCCAGCCAATCCCTTTCCCCCATTCTATGCTTCAGACATTTCCTGTCACTTTACTGCTGAATTCCAGTTTTATCTGTTAGGGGCTGTATTTGGTATGTGATTATCTACTGGTTGTTTTGGTCCTTCTATGGGGAGGAGAGTGCTGGGTGCCTCTAGTCAGCCACCTGGAAGCCCTGAACTTTACTTCTTATGAGTTCTTTGTGTCTGTTCTGGTACTGTGTACTTCACCACTTTATATAGCTTTTATAGGGTATTTTAATATTAGATGGGTCCAGTTCCTCCATCCCTGTTTATCATGTGAATTTGACCCTCTGAATATAATAAGTAAAACACAAGTAAAAATATCTGCCCCGCCTTCCTCCCAGGGCATTGAGGAAGAAACCAAGCAACCGTGTGATTGTAACTTTATAAATGCTCTGCAAATTGTGATACTGTTTCTCAGCTTTTAAAATCTTCTCTTCACATGTATTCAGTATCCCCATGTAATCTTTATAAAAGACCATATTCTAACTAGGGGCAAGACATTTTACTTTTAGGCCCCAAGGAGAAAAATGTTTAGGATTTCACCATTTTAGAATTCTAAAAGGTATAAATTTCTTTCCAACTTCCCAAGAAGTTTCGATGGCCAGATATTTGAAACAAAATATAAAAAAGAAAGTGGAAATATAAAAAGGAAACAAAATATACAAAATATACAAAATATAAAAAGGAAAAAGGATTAATATCACTTGATTTTATGTTTATCAAAATTTCAAAAGGAAAGTGATTAAAAGTAAGTCCAAGATTTATCTCTAAGATCAGGAAAAAAGAATTTTTTAAAAGAGGATGGAGAAAATAGGCCTTAGAAATAAGGGACCAGGCTCGGCGCCTATGGCTCAAGCGGCTAAGGCGCCAGCCACATACACCTAAGGTGGCGGGTTCGAATCCCCAGCCCGGGCCCGCCAAACAACAATGATGGCTGCAACCAAAAAATGGCCAGGCGTTGTGGCGGGCGCCTGTAGTCCCAGCTATTTGGGAGGCTGAGGCAGGAGACTCGCTTGAGCCCAGGAGTTGGAGGTTGCTGTGAGCGTGATGCCAGGGCACTCTACCCAGGGGGATAGCTTGAGGCTCCGTCTCAAAAAAAAAAAAAAAGAAAAGAAAGAAGGGACCAATAAAGGAAAAAGTGGAGTTCTGTCGCCTTAGGAGGCAGCATTTGATACCCACAGTACATGGTCTCAGAAAATGCTTCAATACAATATTCAGTTGGCCTACATCATGCCTTACATGAAAATGTGGAGTTTCTTTGCAGACTTACTGTTCACTGTTTCTTCTAAGGCTATTATAATTTAGGGACTTAAAGGCATTTAAGGATGCCACCAGGTAGTAACCACGGGAATTTATTTTTCCTTAGTATTTGGAAACTCTCAGAAGTTTTTCCTTTTTCTTATTTTTTCCGTCTCCATTACAGGTTGAAGCTCCATTCATACCAAAGTTCAGAGGCTCTGGAGACACCAGCAACTTTGATGACTATGAGGAGGAAGATATCCGTGTCTCTATAACGGAAAAATGTGCAAAGGAATTTGGTGAATTTTAGAGGGGAACCGTAAGATGACATCCGAGCTCACACTCAATCTTTGCTCTCTGTAGAGAGAGAAGGTGGAGCTGAGACCGTCCTTGTTGAAGCAGTTCCCTAGTTCCTTCATTCCAGCGACTGAGTGGGGTCTTTATTGCCGTCATCCGTGTGTGCACTCTGCATCCGCCTGTGTCACAAGGCACCGCTAGGCAGGCGTCATCTGTGCCATCACACAGTGCTAGACCACTTTCCTCCTCCCTTTGGGTTGGCTCTCTCCTCTCCTACTTCTTCCTTTTCGGTCCCATCACTTTTCTCTAAACAGTGCTCCATTTTATTTCATTGGTGTTTCAGGTGGGCAGTGTTGTGGCTGTGTGATAATTCGAAGGGAAGGGTACATGTCGCTTTCAGTAGTCCTGACAGTATTTTTGTTGGTCAGTGGCTTGATGGTAACCATGCTAATAATTATTTGTACTTTGAGTAGCACACACTCAGTTTTGCCAAAACTCTGGACGATTTTCGAAGATAGACTGTCTTATCACGCAGGAAATGTATACAAATGAAGAAAGACAATAACTTTGTTGGAATTCTGGCAATAAATGTAGATAGACTGATGCGGAGTAGCTAGAACCAGCAATTTGGATAGCTAGAGATCAGAAGTCCTATTTCCCTTCACCTCTTTTTATATATTCCTCCCCTTGAGTAATGGAGTGAGCAGCCTGGGTAGTGTGACGGAAGTGTCTCACTCAGCAGGATAAACTAATAATATGGCTCATCACCCAGATTCTGTCACCCAGTACCAGCATTTCTGTAGGTAGTAGAGAAGAATTCTAAGTTTTCTAAACCTTAACTCTTCATAAGGACTTTAGCCAGTATTTTATTAATAGAATAAGATTAATAAAAAGTGACAAATTTTGAAGTTTCTCAAATGGTCCTCACTGTAAACTTTTTAAAGGAAAAGAAACAAACTAAAAAGAACATAGGTTTGGGTAGATACCTCTGCTGAGTCAAACAAATGGCTTGATTCTTGCACACGAGGTGGAGGTCCTCTCGTTTAAATGAGCGTTTTCACTTGTTTTGTTCTGTAACCCTGACCCACACAAGAAGTGGTTCCCAGCTCCGCTCAGTACCGTGGTGTGTATTCCATTGTGGACCTAAGACGGGGACACTGCTGCCACTTCCGCTTTCATCCCACGCCTGTCAATGAGGAGAGGAGACAGGTTTATAAAACTGCCACACTTGTAATTTTAAGTGTAATGTTTTCAGCTGTGTCGTAATTTTCAATTCTTTTCTGTTGTAAGCAGAACATAGACCAGACCATACCGACGTGATCTTAGTATTGGAGTTGAGTTTTTTTCATCTATACTTTTTTGCCAACTGACTTAAAAACAGTGCTGTCAGAGGGAAATTCCAAGCACCTTTGCACCCTCGGTTCAGTGTTGGTTGAGAAGCCATGGCTTACCTGAGTTGTTCTGCTTTTTTGTTTGTTTGTTTTGCTTTGAGTTTCCCCCATCTGGTTTTTATCTCTGTGTCTCAGTGACCTACCTTAAAACAGCATACCAAAACAGTTTAAAATAAACTGCATTCATTTTTTTATGATCAATGTACATGCATATAGAAAGTGAATTGTTTTTAATCAAACTAATCTTCCTGTATATAATCATTCTATTTGCCTCATTATTGGTGCAAGGAGGTCACTGACGCCACTTCTTTTGATCTGTACCAGACCCTAGTAAAACCTCTGAAGACGTGGAAAAATCCTGCCTGAGACGTTCTCTCCGCCAATCTACATCTTTTGGTTGTTAAATGTTTCTGCATGGTAATGTCACACAAAGGCTGACACTGATTTCAGTTGGTCCCCTTCTATTTAAAATGTGCAAGAAAATTTTGAAACACTCTTGCTGTTTAGGGGAGTTTTATGTAATAAAGATATATCACCATCATGTTAATAAATTTCAAACGTCATTTGTGTAAACTATTTTAATGAATCTTTTTGTATTTCAGTTAGCCCCAAGAACATGCTGATCATTGTATCCTGTATGTATGCTATAAATTCTACGGTAGCTTTGTTGTATATTATTGTAAAATTATTTTAATAAATCATAGGGATGACAATTCGATTATTACTATTTAGTTTTCAGTAATTGCAAAGATTTCTATGAATTCTAAAAATATTTTTTTCTATGAAATTACAAGTGCCCAGCTGTAGAATCTACCCTAGGTAGACGACCCTGAGGCGTGCATTGGTTTTGAGGGCTACTCGGCCATTCCATCTTACTCTCTGATTAGATAAGGACATGAGCAAGCTTCCAAATGTGTCAAGGGAGTCTTTTTCCAACCAATCAAGTACTCCGAATTAGAACACTTTTAAATCCCCCCCCCCCCGCCTTGCAGCCACAGTTTAGCCAAGAACAAGATAAAAACTTGAATAAGAAATAAGTCACATAAATCAGTATTTAACCTCAAATTTGGAACAGAAGATGTTTTTGCTCAGTAAATAATTAACAGATGGCCTTATATAAGGAGAAGCCCTAGAATGAAAGTCAAGATCTGAGTTTTAGGCCAGAAAACTATCAGGATGAGTCCGGCCTCAGTTCTCTCATCTGTAAAATGGAAGCGCCAGTTTTGAAGGTTCCTTCTAACTTTCACAGGTTATGATAGGATTCTCTTTTCATCTGGTATTTTGAAGGGATGTTGTGCTTTGAAGTCTCAGGCAGTGTATTTTAGGGCATCTTTCTTCTCTCTGACAGTGTTCTTACAATTTCTTGAATATCATTAGAACATCGTATCTGTCCTAATTCCTTCCTTATTCACTGAGTACCCAGTTTATATTAACCCATCGACCTACCAAAAAAAGATAACGTGGCTTATGGGAATTACTGTCTTGTTCTTGGTACATTCTTGCATTGACTGTCCATTGGCCTGAAAATACTCACTGTAAACCTGAAAAAAAAAATAATCGCTTTTCTTTCCCACTGACTGTTTTTTTTCTGCTTGTTGTAAGAATCAAATGAAATAATGTATGTGAAAGCACCTTGTAAAATGTAACCTATCAATGTAAAACGTTAAGGTGTGTTACTTCATTAATTACTTCTTTATTTAGAATGGAATTTCCTCTGCACTACTGCAGCTAGGAAATGCTGAAAACAACTGTTTTTTAATTAATCAATAACTATAAAATTAAAGTATCTTCAATGGATAAGACAAGTTATTGAGTCTTGAGTGCTATTGGATGCCCTTATCCACTGATCCTTCTTAGTGATGTCACAGATACCCATAGATTCCTAGCTGGGTCGTTATTTTGGTGGTGGGGATAGAGCAATAGGGGAAGAAATGTCCACTCAAACTGGATATTTACGAAGAAACTGCCAAGTCCATCTCAGGTTCTAAAAAGTGTTTCTATTTTTCTCACTGCTCGTATTGGTCCCAATTACTTCTAACATGTTGGAACTGTTCGTATTTAAAGGATTTCATATCTCAAGAGCCCTTGTCCTTAAATTGTAACAAGGAACTATTAGTTTATTCTTTTTTCTTCAGGAGTGCTTTAGAACATCACATAACCTCTTTCCACTTTCCACAGGTTCCTTAGTGTATATTTCTAAAGTTGTCCTTTACCTCAAGAAATAATGATTTTAGCCAGGCACAGGTGGCTCACGCCTATAATCCCTAGCTGCCTGGGAGGCCAAGGTGGGTGGATTGCTTAAACTCAAGAGTTTGAGACCAGCCCGAACAAGAGCGAGACTCTGTCTCCACTAAACATAGAAAAACTAGCTGGATATAGTGGCATACTCCTATAGTCCTAGCTACTCAGGAGGCTGAGGCAAGAGGATCACTGAAGCCCAAGAGTTTGAGGTTGCTATGAGCTATGATGCCAAGGCAACAGAGTGAGACTCTCTCAAAAAAAATAAAAATCCCTTTTAGATAATTGTTTTAATAGCTTACCATGGCTCGACACTTGTGGCTCATGCGGCTAAGGTGCTAGCCACATACACCTGAGCTGGCGGATTCATATCCAGCCTGGGCCCACCAAAAACAACAATGATGGCTGCAACCAAAAAATAGCCAGGCATTGTGGCAGACGCCTATAGTCCTAGCTACTTGGGAAGCGGAGGCAGAAGAATTGCTTGAGCCCAGGAGTTGGAAGTTGCTGTGAACCATGATGCCACAGCACTCTACCCAGGGTGACAGCTTGAGGCTCTGCCTCAAAAAAAAAAAAGAAAAATATCTTACCATTTGTTTGCTGTTGCAAACATAAATATTGATGTGTTTTATAAGATGGAGCTTACTAATTTTATACCACCCCTTGCTTCATTTTATCATTATCAGGGCTTTATAGAAATTCCAGTTCTAATTTTCTTAGGAAACTAATTACAAAGATCTGAGCTTGTCTTCATTCCAGAATTATCATCATCTGAAATTTATTAACCAAAATTTTGTCTTACACACAAATATTAGACATGAAGTTACATGCTTATTTTTATTTCACCTTTTCTAAAGATTTTCTGTATGCTTATTTCATAGCCTTTGTGCTCACTGTTCTGGATTGAGTCATAAAGAAAATTTTTATGTTGAAGTCCTAACCTCCATTACCTCAGCACGTGATTGTATTTGGAGCTGAGGGCTTTAAAGGGGTAATGAAGGTACAATGAGCTCCTACAGGTGGGCTTCAAGCCAATAGGACTGACATCCTTATAAGAAGGGATTAGGGTTCTCAACCTTCCTAATGCGTGGCCCTTTAATACAGTTCCTGTAGGTCGCGACCCACAGGTTGAGAACCACCGGATTAGGCCATAGCACACAGGCAAATGGAGAACCCTGTGAAGACTGGAGAGGATGGCCATCTAGAAGATGCCAACTCCACCATCTTGATCTTGGATTTCTAGCCTGCAGAACTGTGAGAAAAGTTTCTGTTGCTTAAGCCACCAAGTCTGTGATACTTTGTCTTGGCATTCTTAAACTAATACGCCCACAGAGCTCAGATGCTCTATACTTGGCCCAAAGAGAACTGCTTTACCGTAGGCGCAGTCTATCAGTCTATCTACATCTAGATATATCGGTGTGGTCACCAGCTTCAATGCCCTGTGCTATCTTCTTTCTATTTCCTGAAATAAAAGTAGGAAACAGTAACTACCAAGATACTGAGAGCCGGGGAAAGCATGAGTGACTCGAACCTCTACCGGCTCTGAGTCAGGCTTTCGTCTTTGGCATTAAGCTCTCTCCTCAGTAGACAACACAGAAGTGAGCACACTGATTCCAGGAGTTGAATGTCTCTGCCCAACTCCTAACAGTGATGCTAACAATGAAATGGCCAACAGGGAAGTGGGAGGGGGCTGGAAGGTTGATGGGGATACCCAGCTGGCCCATCACCTCCAGGGGTTAATACTGTTCAGCAAATGCTTACCTTAATGTATTAGTTTTCTTCTGCTACTCTAACAAATTCCCACAGACTGAGAGGCTTAAACCAATGTAAATGTATTAACGGACAGCTCTGGGGAGCTAAGGAGTCTCATCTTTAAAACCAGGGCTGCTCTCCTTTCTGGAGGCTGTAGGGAAGAACCCGTCTGCTTGTCTCTTCCAGCTTCTGGCTGGAAGGCGCCTCTCCTTATCTTCAAAGCCAGCAGCATCCTCTCATCTCCTCTCTACCATCCTGTTTCACTTTTAAAGATCTTTGTGACTCTATTAGACCTGCCTGGACTAGGCTCATCTAAGTAAGGTCAACTAATTAGCAACCTTAATTCCATCTGCTGCCCTAGCTCCTCTTTTCCACATCACAGTATTTTTCAAACTTTTTATCTCAGGCACACTTGAACTTACGGGTAAACTTCCACAGCACCCTTAAATTATGGCGATCCAAAAAAAGAGTTAACGAAAGAATATACCGTGCTTTGAACTGCTTTCAAAAATAATTTAATTGATGTCCTATTAAAAATTTTCACAGCACACTGGTTGAAAATCACTGCCGTATAATCTAACAGTCACAGGT